GAAATGTTAAATAGTATCAGAGACAGGATTTCTTTAGCAAATTATTTGTTCTTATTGGTTGATAGTTTGACGACTCCGTAGTGCAGCGGCTTAGCAATGAGTGGCTGCGCTGGGGGTCGCGGGTTCGAATCCCGCACGGAACAAGTATTTGTATGGCCTAAAAATAGTTGTTCCGGGTCTGGATGTTTGTCCTTGTGCAATTTATGTTTGTAAACTGCCCCTACGATACAAGAGAAAATCTTAGTGCAAGGGTAACGTTTTTAAAAAAAAATAAAAAATAGTACAAATATGAACAGACAGTCTTTTAAGTTTTGTTAGTATAACAGGACCGTGATTATCGTGTCTGATAGGAACCTATCAGACACGACAATCACGGTTATATTATAGAAACCACGTAAGAGTTCATAGCTGGCACAGAATAGAAATAACAACTGACGGCGTAGATACTTCATTGTACAATTTGAGAGGAAGTGGCAACTATACATTGATACGGGGAAAAATTAAGTCTTGACATATATCAAGAAAGCAATACTACTAAAACAAAGCAATACCACGAAAACCAATAGAATCCTACAATCTTGTCTCTACTAGATCTAAGCATCAGCGTACTAATCGCAGGAGACCTAAACAGTAAACACGTTAGCTGTAATTCTAAAGTTAACAGTCGGAACGGAAATGTTTTATGTGATCTAACCGAGATACTTAACTTCGACGATATCGCTCCCGAGAATCCAACTCGCTATCCTTTCTCTATACACAAACATCCGGACGTCCTCGATATAGCGTTACTCAAAGATTACTTACTATGAACTCGATTGGTACCTTTATCGAACTAAACTTAGACCATAAACCGCTTGTATTACAACTGAGCCGGTCGGCAGGTGAGGTCCCTCAGACCAAAATAATCGTCCACTGGAGTAAACTTGAAGTCAAACTCAACTCTATGCACTCCCAGCATTTAGACACTATTCAGGACAAGATAGACTCGCCGGAGGAAGCCAATAGGGCGATTAGCGCTCTACCGACTCACCTTACTACAGTCGTCGAAGAATGCTCCCGTAAGGTTCGTATGTCGAGCGATCAATAAACGAAGTTTCCGACATGCAGTTAAGTGATAGAATTATCTTCCTGCTGTAATTTGTGAGGCTCAAACAGTGTCAATGTTTATACGACGAGTTAAAGAGCACTATCATTATTTGTCGTCCCAACGACCATGACTTCTATGTAAATGTAAGTGTATGAATATGTAACAAAGTATATGTGTACGTACGTTTTTATGGATGTATGTACATATATTTATTATCTACTAGGTGGCCAGTTCTTGTTCTGCCCTTTCCGACGACGACTTTGTACAAAATAAATTTTTATTAATTGTAACATTACTTTGTGTGTACATAAGTTGTTAAATACGTATATAAAAAAGGGTCACCGGCTCCCGATGACGAGTAGCGTACAACAACAGCATTAAATTGCTATTATATATATATATATATATATATATATATATATATATATATATATATATATATATATATATATACATATATATATATCTTAATGCACACAAGACCGTGTACTGGCGCTGTAATTCAACATCCCATATCACCCCGTGGGTGTCGTGGGAGAAAGCCCTGGTAGGTACTTAGAGATAATATTTTTTCTATTCCTTAATAAGAAAAAAATATTTTGAAGCCATGTAAAGTTCGCCAACATATTTACCATCAGGTGGACTGTGTGCTCGTTTGTCAAAACATTTAAAAAATTAAGAATGTAAGATTACTTAACATAACTGATATTAATTTATAAATCCTACTTAAGTAGCTTCTATATTTAAAGATAAAACTTTCCGTATGAAGAACGCATCGTTGTGGCGGCTTGGGAAGTTTTCTTAGTAACTTCGGATACTTGGTAGAAGTATTATTAAACCGTCAAACTAAAGACGTTATTTTGCGCCTCTTATCCTTGTGCAGATCACTTACAAAGTTTAAAGTATTTTACAAAGTTTTTGCAATTCCTATTATGTTTCATATTTCGTAACTGGTGCAGCACTAACGTAAACACTCACCAACAGAACAAGTAGCCGACAAGAGCCCCAGCAACGTCACGTATGTACACTTATAATGTCTGTTGGTCTAGCGTAGTAAACTCGATTGCTGAGGTCCGAGGTTCGAATCTCGGGTCGGGTCAAAACCAGTAATTGTTTTTCTGTCAAGAAATTGTCAGTAGCAGCCTGAGTTAGCAAGTGTGCGAGGTTTCAGCGCCGTGCCTCGGAAAGCACGTTAACCCAATGGTCCTGCGCCTAATCTCTCTCCGGTCGTGACGAACAACCGTTCCATTGGATTGTTGGAGTGAGGGAATAGAGAGTGCGCTTATACTCGCGCATTCGGGCACTCGGGCACTATGTTGGACACTGTGCTTGCGCATACACTTGGACACTATAATCCTGTCCTGCGCCGATGGCTAGTCTCCGTTGAGGTTGGCCGCCGTGACCGAAATTCGGTCTGGAGGACATTATTATTATTATTATATTTTCAAACTTTACGTCTGACTTTTATAAATTTGGTAGTAAAAAAACAATAAAAATGAGCTTCGACTTCATAGAGTCGGTCGTTAATTTCTAGGGCGATGTAAACCCCTTACAACAAAATGCTAGAAAATAAACAATATTTGACTAACGGCAAATTTAAAATCTTTACTAAGCAAGTTTGTTATGAAAACTCACAAATAATACTCACAAAGTTTTACCAGGAAAATAGAACTACACCGTCGAGCGCAGGAATAGAAGTGAGTCTATTCCCGCGTTCGTATAATAAGGAAATCGTATCAATATATATCGTCGTAATAACGTCTTAGGTGTGCTCTGATTGGTCGACGAATTGATTGGTCAATACTTCACTAAACAATAACTTTTTATTGAATTCATTGGGTTACTTAAGTAATTTCAATTACCAGGATTAATAAACAAATCGATAATTATTTATTCTACGATTTAAAACAATATTTGAGTTATAAGTTTATAATCGAATTAACAGTTGTTTTAACAGGAATTAGTTGTCAACAAAGAGATTTGTAAACCAAAAGAGTTTTAAAGAACTAGCTAGTTACATGTTATGTTTCTGATAAATTGCTGTTATTAAATTGTAATATTAATAATTGTACACGTAGATTATTATAATTTATAACAATTAAAAGACAATGCAAAGTTTAGGCTTCGTCAACAGAAGATGTCCTTGCGGCGACACGGCCATTCTGATCGGCGGTGCGCGCTCTGCACCTGCCGTGAATAATCTTCTATCTCTATTGACCTGTTAACACGGTATCTATTTTGTAAATAATGGTCTTGATTGGCACCATACCCAATAGTGATCAGATGATCATATAGCAAGTGAAGCATTAAAAAGCACACTTAATTTTAATAATTAAAACCATAAATTATTCTCATTGCATTTATAAATATTTAAAGTTACAGATTGTAGTTGTGCTCTCAATTAGGTACAAGTATAGTATTGTTTTATTCTCAAGTGACGGTAATGCTCTGTGATAGACACAAAGTCTTTGATTTGAAGGAATAGATGAAGTAGGATCAGGAACACCGCTCTGTGATAGACACAAAGTCTTTGATTTGAAGGAATAGATGAAGTAGGATCAGGAACACCGCTCTGTGATAGACACAAAGTCTTTGATTTGAAGGAATAGATGAAGTAGGATCAGGAACACCGCTCTGTGATAGACACAAAGTCTTTGATCTGATGGAGAGTAAGGTAAGGAACTTAGGACCATTGCTCCGTGACAGGCACGAAGTCTCTTTATTTGACGGGAAAATTGGGAACTAGGTTCTGAACGGTCATGAACGCCGTGTCCCAGCAGGATAACATGAGAGTATAAATTGTCGCCTCCACGGCTTGTGGTTATTTTTTTTTTTAAAGAATAACTTAATGTTTATATTTGCCTCCACGGCTTTTGAATGTGAATGAAGTAAAATTGTTTAGTTTAATAGCTACGCAATTAATAGATACAGTAATTATAATAGATAGTAGCTTAGAATAAATTGGAAACTGCTCACCATATAATTTGTAGCATCTATCATGACTAAAGGTCCAGCAGCGTTGTCTACCAGATTACCGTCGTCATTTTGCAAGTTTTGAGGCTGTAAATCATTTAGGGAACACGTATAATGGGATCCACCATCACTTATTGGCTCGTTGACAGGCTCGTTTAGAAACAAACTTTCCAGGACATGTTATCAATCATATAATCAACACCAATTGCCTTATACTGTAAAAAGACTTTTCCAGCCCGATAAGACTTAGGAAACTTCAAGAAAAGAGCTTACTCCTTTCTAAAAGGCCGGCAACGCACGTGCAATTCCCGTGGTGTTGCAGTTGTTCAAGGTTGGCGGTTGTCACCATCAGGTGAGCCGCATGCTCGTTTGCTTCCACTCCTATAAAATAAAACATCGCTACTACAAAACAAATAATCATGTATTATTTCATGTTGTAAATATCGCTTTTTACAACTTATGCTTCGTAAAAATTTTAAACATAACAACTCTATATTTTGTTGTAAAGACTTTGCCCCTTGAAAAAGTTACTCTTTGAAATACAATATCAGATATTTAGCTAGTATTTATTCTTAGTTTTTACAGAAAGTACTTCACTATGCTTTGCTTTTGTGTATATTTATTAATTTTTTGTTAGTAAATTGAGAAGCAAAAATTAAAATATAATGTGGTCATTTTATTGAATTGTTTACTAAGATTTCTCCCGGATTAAATGCACAAATTGCTTATATCCGCTATTTTTCTTGATTTTGGCAGCCTCGTACCGGTAATCAAAATATAGGGTGGAGTGACGATTTGTTCGAGATGCAGGAAATCGATGGATACAGATGACGTAAGACCATGCTTTAAGGCTTGACTTGAGAGAGGCCAATGTTTAACAGTGGACTTGTGATTAAAATTGAAATGCAACTAAATAGAGCAGCTTTGAGTTGCTAAGACATTACATTTTATGTGATAAAGTCACAGCAGTTCTAGCTGAAGTAACGATAAGTCGGCTCAAGTGCTGCAAAGCACCTGAAGCGGGAATTGAAATAATAAGGATGTTAATAGTTAATTATCTACGATACACGTAGTTAAATAAATAAAATAATGTATCAAGTTAGCATACTTCTTTATAGGAGAGGAGGTAAACGAGCATATGGCTCACTTGATGGTAAGTGATTATCCCCGCCTATGAACAACTGCAAAACCAGAGTAGGGCTGCCATGTCTAAACCCTGCTCCCAAGACCGGAAACGTAAGTTCCCCAGATTTTGGAGCTTCCACTTTGAACATTAAATATTTTTCTCATTCACTTATATCTTGATTAAAATATATTTTACTTCGTACTTGATAGAAGAAAACTTTAATTTTAAGCCTATTTTGTTTCGTAAAATCTACGTTTAGTCGTTCTTAATGACTTTGATAACATCAAAATATCCTTAAATTTTACAATTAGTAAAATTACAATCAGAACTTAAACCTAAAAAACCATAAACTGTAACTTTTTCAGCAATCCTACATATTATTTATTTCTATATACTGCAGACAATCAAATCAACACTTAATTAAAAGAATACGGTAGTTCTCTTAAAAAAATTAGTGTCGGTAACAGTCTTTCAGACAATTTACCGTCAATTTACATTTACTTAAATAATTAATGAATAGAAAATATCTATATTTCTTAGAATTTTAATAAAATTCTTCATATATTAAATTGCAGGACTCCCTCACTGATTCATCAAAGCTCAACGCAAACCCTTACACATACAATTGTTTAAGCAGAAACATTATGACAGTACCATCGATATATTATTAATGTTAGTTTTGTCAAAATCTACATCAATTTATCACAAACATTTACCTGGATGACTTTAATACTAGAAATGATAACAAACTAGCACTACATAAATTTAGATTGGCTACGATTATGTGACAAAACTATATGGAATGACCAGTTTAAAGTAAATAAGAAAAATTGCACAATCAGTTTTTAAAAGAGCAAACGATACGCGACCTCAAAACCTTCGTAATTATCAATAATCCGGACCGCATCTGCCGTTCGAGCCAAAATTTAACGCAATGTCAGCGAAATTATGAGCAATATGCAGCGTCGCGTTTGTTTGTAATTATAGCATCAATACCTGGCAATCATTATTCTGTATTGCGAATACAGCAGTTGCTTCTCCTCGGCAACATTGCAAATATTCGCGGATAGAAAACAAATGAACACAAAATTACTGCTTGATATAAACATTGCTGTTTGTTTTGTTAGTGGCGATACGATCATGTTTGCTGAATTGTCACTTTTTATAACATGGTGCAGACATAAATAAACAAATAGTTTAACAGCAAATTATTGTATCATAGACGAAATCTTAAAACTACATATCTAGTGAGCTATTTTTCATATGGTGAATGTAGAGAAGCGGAGACCCTTTTTATTCGTAAAGAAACCTTTCATCCCAGGGGCCACAACGCATCTGTATTTTGATTCTTAATTGAAATATAATTATGATACCAGGTGAACTATGTACTCTTTGTCTCTGTAACTTCTCTTAAAAATATCATTTTTCATTACAGCCAATCAAAAATTCTGACATGAACGTGGAAATACATAAACTACCTAGCGTGGCAATTAGGGTAAAAATTACCATTATAAAGTTTACCATCATTGACACACTTGTCAGGCGGGTTGGCAATATTTCTTATTAATATAGATAAAAATTTTCAACATTAATCGTAAAAAAATGCCACTAGCGAGACACGAACCTCCTCTAACTGAGCAGAAAGGGTCACTAAACCATCAAGTCAATAATGCTACAATAAAAGCCGAGGCACATAAGTATGTAATAGTATAGCAAATTGTAGTAAAATGAAGGTTTTGTTATTTCATTTAGTGACACTTTGCGTTAACCCCTCATAAAAGATAATGTACACAGTGTACATAATACGAGAACAAGCTTATATCTAACATGAAATACGACGCAATAACCCTTCGTGAAAATTAATATTGCTCGGTTATTTTCATTGACCCATTGTGTGACTTTAGACGTATAATTTTTTTGTTTTATTAATTTCAACTTGTACGGGTTTCTATCCGTACAAGTTGAAATTAATAAAACAAAAAAATTATACGCATTTAATAGTCCCATGCTACTACCCCCCACCCCGTCTGTCCAAACGCCAAATTCTGACGTCTCAAATAATATGCGCATCTGTCAAACGCCATAATATGGCGTCGAGTGATAGCAAATAATTTGTAACATATATATGATATTTAAATAACATACATAATATATATAACACATATATCTGTTATGCATAATCTGATAGCTTATTTTAATAACGTTTCCATTGATATTTTTTGGCTGCACTAAAAGTATCAGGAATGGAATATTTCCACTGTTCCTGTCATATTAAAATCTTTTTAATTGAAAACTCTTTGGTTTTAAAAATCGAATACCATTTATTTATTTAATAATAGGGGTAAAAAAGGGGTATGAAAGTGAACGCAAGTAAGACGAAGGTTATGGTTTTTGAAAGAGAAGAAAGTGAAACGATTTGTGAAATAAGAATAGAAGGGGAGTTGATCGAGCAAGTAGACGAGTTTGTATATTTGGGCTGCGTATTTAGCAGGGATGGTAGATATGATAAGGATATAGAACGACGAGTGAATGCGGGAAATAGAGTAAATGGGGCCCTACACTATATTGTGAAGAGTCAAAATGTGTCAAAAAAAGCAAGCATGGCAATTCACAATGCTGTGTTGGTCCCTAATTTAACGTATGGTAGTGAAAGTTGGGTGTGGCAGAAGAAGCACGAGAGTAGAATAAACGCAGTAGAAATGCGGTCGTTAAGGACTATGTTAGGGCTGAATCTGAATGACAGGGTAAGAAATTGTGTAATAAGAGAAGAGTGTGGTTTGCAAGATGATGTTGTGACCAGGATTAAGAAAGGAATGCTTCGGTGGTTTAGTCATGTGGAAAGAATGGATGAGGAAAGACTGACAAAGAAAATTTATGTTGCAGAAGTAATTGGCAGAGTCGGAAAGGGACGTCCTAGGTGAAAATTTATCGACCAAATTGGCGATTTATTAAAAACGGGCCAAATTAGGAGTACCCTTAACCGACGAGCATGTATGCGTAGGTGTATGGATGTGAAGGAGGCGAGAGAGGTGTGTCAGGATCATGCCAAATGGAAGTCTGTAGTCTCTGCCTACCCCTCGTGACCCGTACCCGGCGTGAGTGTTTATGTATTTATGTATTTAATAAAAGATTCTCGGTCTTGTCACAAGGTTTTGTCAAACTTGTTTAGTCGTTGATAAAATGGAATTGACTCGAGAAAATTCAAGAGCGATGATTTATTATGACTTTCGAAGTGGTTTAACACAAAAACAGTGTGTTGTCCGGATGATTTCTGCATTTGGTGATGAAGCCCCATCCAAAACCACAATTTATCGCTGGTTTGCTGAATTTCAACGTGGACGTGTCAAGCTCAGTGATGATCCCCGTCAAGGTCATCCAAAAACTGCAGTCACCCAAGAAAACGTTGATGTTGTGCGTAAGCTGATTGAGGACGATCGACATGTGACATACCGCGAAATTCAGGCAACTTTAGACATTGGCGTGAGTCAAATATGTGAATTAAAATTTAAAAACATATATTTTTTTTATATATTCCGCGTCGCATTATAGCATGTGCATTGAGGCAGCCGTCCGAGTTACGTCGGAGTGCGGGCCGGACTGAAAACCAGTGTCGGGATCAGAGCAATTCGTGTTTCTGTATCTCGATTTTTACTGAGTCCTGTCCATTTCACGGTCTTATGCTGCTACACAGACTCATTTTATATTATTTTTACATTTTTGTTAATTTAGGGAAATATTGTTTTATTTTCTGTTTAATTCCAATTTCTTGCTTTGTTTTGTATCTATTGTGATTAGACCGTGAATAAATGTTTTTTCTTTTCTTTTCTTTCTTTCTTTCAAATACAAATAATCTTGCATGAACAATTAGGTGTAAAAAAGTTGTTTCTCCGACGGATACCGCATTCGCTCTGTGAAGAACAAAAAGCGGCTCGCGTTACTTGGTGCGTCAGAACTCTCGAAAGATTCCACGCAGGATCCTCAAATGCTGTATACAACATCATATCAGGTGACAAATCATGGATATACGTGTACGAACCCGAAACAAAAAACCAGTCACGAGTTTGGGTGTTCGGAATTGAGTTAAAGCCAACAAAAATTGTTCGTTCACGGAGTGTTGCAAAAAAAAAAAATGGTGGCCACGTATGTCTCCAAAACCGGCCATGTTACGACTATTCCTCTTGAGGGACAAAGAACGGTTAATGCAGAATGTTATGCTAGCATTTTTTTGCCACAGGTCGTTTCTGAACTCCGTAAAGAGAACTGCAACCGCCGCATCATCCTCCATCACGACAATGCGAGTTCTCACACCGCACACGGAACAAAAGAGTTTTTAGAGCAAGAAAACATGATTTCTATACTTTCCCTAAAATAAGGAATAAATGACGTGTACAGAGATTTTCATCACCTGAAGAAGCTGTTGACGCCTACAAAACGGCCATTTTGGAGACTCCAACTTCCGAATGGAATGGTTGCTTCAATGATTGGTTCCATCGTATGGAAAAATGTGTCAAATTTCGCGGAGAACACTTCGAAAAGCAATAAATACTTTTTTAAATAGTAATGTTGTGTCACTTCCTTGATTCCCGAAATTTTTAGTGCCGCCCTCGTATATGATTTTAATAATCGTATATGATTTAATACTTAGTATATATATGATATATATATATATATATATATATATATATATATATATATATATATATATATATATATTTAAATTTATTTTCTTCCAATTATACAATAAACGTTTTTAACATTTTTATCTGCCAAACTGCATTACAGTTTGTCGGCAGTAGTTCTCGTCTTACATGCTTATGTTTATACATATAATCTGAAGTATAATTTCTTATACATATACTAATATCTCCCAAAATCTATTTTATTATTTTATCTATACATATTTAGTACAAAGTTTGTTATGAGGTCCACATCAGCCAAATATCAAAATTGGTTCATTATTTTTTGATTTTTTTATATACATACTGTATATACACATATACACTAATTCAACACATACTCAAACAGCACACATCGCATATAGACTGCTAATTTTAACAGTACGTTACTCGTGGCCTGTGGCGTACCTTTATGGACATAATGATAGATAATGTTTTCTTAGGATATTTTTTAAATGATTTTTTGAGATAACTTTACTAAGCAAGTCCGGCGGCAGCTCGTTATGTAATTGCGGGATAACCCATCGTCTCGTCCGCATACCGAAGTAATTTTTAATTTTAAGTACTACATATTTTCCTTTTCTAGTGGATTGACGAGTAGGGTAGCCATATTCTCTTTCTACTTTAAACTCATTTTTATTATACTGTTCCATTATCAACTTTATTTTCACTTTTTTGTCTACAGGTACAATTTTACAAATTTTGAAAAGTTTATTATATTCTTTATTACACTCACTTTTTACTTTATTATCTACTAGTATCTTTAACAACCTTGTTTGTAGTTCTTTGATTTTATTTAAATACACTGGGAACGTAAGTCCATAGCTACCCAACCCGTAATCTATAGTTGTATCCGCAAGCGCATAGTACAGCATATGTAACATACTTCTGCTTAGCCTAAATTTCAGGTGGTACAATTTACCCAATACACTACGTAATTTGTTACAGATTTGCTGAACATGTATACTACATACAAAACTGGTATCTATAGTTATTCCTAGGTATTTGTAGCATGAGACTTGTTCTAACTTCAGACATTTACAGTTATTTACATTGTTATTTCTGTGGAAACAATCGTAGGTATGCCCTTTAATTACAATGTCGGCATGCTTTTGTCGATTGTATGGCGAAGATATTAACATAAATTTAGTTTTGCTTATATTAATTATAATACCATTATCATGCGCCCATTTAACAATGTTGTCTAAGTCTTTTTGCATAACAATTTGTATCGTCTTTGGATCTTTGTACGAGTACATTAGGCAAGTGTCATCAGCATACATATATATTTTACATGATCGTACTACTTTGCTCATTCCATTTACATGAATGATGTACCCTACTGGACCGAATACTGAGCCGGTTGGGACTCCATATTTGATTTTACCAAGGTCACTACTAGTTTCGCTAATGCGGACTTCTAACGTTCTGTCCTTTAAATAGTTGCGGAACCATAAGTTTGTGGGTCCTCGAATACCGCACTCTTCCATAGACTGCAGCAAGCCATCGTGGTCCAGTGCGTCAAAAGCTGTTTTAAAATCGATAAAAATAACACCTACTAGGTTTTGGTCATTAAGAGCGTTATTCACGTCGTCTGTAAATTTAACTAAAGCCATGTCTGTGCTTCTTTTTGGCCTAAATCCATATTGTAAATCTGTAATAACATCATTATTTTCTAAGAATTCTGAGATTTGTTTGACAACAATTTTTTAGGTAATTTTATTGATTACATTAAGTATGGCGATGGGTCTATAGTTTGTGTATTCTTGATGCGATCCCTGCTTATAGACAGGTCTGATTATTGCTTTTTTTAGTTCTTCTGAGTAAACACTTTTTTTAATACACATATTAATAAAATTCGCTATAATAGGACTAATGACTTTTTTAATAAATTTTAAATCCTGAACTCCAATTCGATCTGACCCCGATGACTTGTTGCAGCTTAGTTTGTCTATAACTTTTATCACATCATCAGCTGATACCATTTTATATCGGAAGCTCACGTTACACTCGTCTATGTATTCTTTTCTTTTTAAAAAGTTTTGGTTACACTTGTGTTTAATATTATCAATTTCGTCAGTAAACGTTTCGCAAAACTTATTACAGATTGTTTTCATAGATTTTTCATTTTTTATGTATCTTTCAATAATGGTATCAACTAATGTTTTATTTTTCCCGAGCCACTGGTTTATTTTTTCCCCAAATTTTGCGCATATCCCCATTACAATTAATTATATCTTTCTTTTTATAATCGTTTTTGGCTTTATTTATTAACTTTTGTACTTTGTTTCTGTATCTAGTATACTCTAATCTAGAATTATTATTACTAGGGTTTGATTTCCACTTTCTGAACAAAATGTCTTTAATTTCAATCATATTTAATAACGACTTACTAACCCAGGGTTGATTTTCCCTTTTTTTCAACTGTATTTTTATTTGCGCTGAGTCATATATATTACAAAAAATTGTTTTGATTCTACTATATAAACTGATAGGGTCATCATAATTTAAAAGCTCATTCCAATATTGTTCACCTAACTTCTTCTCAATCGCTTTGTTATTCAAACTTGTTTTACATACATTTTGCGGCATACGCTTACCTATAACAGCGGTGAGTCCCGTTAGGTAATGATCAGCTAATGGACTCGTAAGTAAATACGCTTGCACCTCTGACGCGCTCTCAGTTCTAACGAACACATGATCGATGCAAGTGGCTGTCCGTCGCTCCGCACTCACTGCCTCGCGGGTTATGTCTTGAATTCCACACTGTAATCCTCGTGATGATAACGTATTAAGATAACTACAAGCGATATGGTCCAATTTATCTTCCAAAATATAAATATTGTAATCACCGAACATGATTATATCCCGACTAATCGGCACTCGTTGAATTACTCGTTCCAGTTCTTTTACAAACAGTTGTTTGTTTGTGTGAGGCGGTCTATATATCACTATAATATCAAGATCGTAGTTTCGTACTTTCAGCATGCCGTGTATCATTTCACAATGGCTACTACTTGTACTATGTATTTGAAAAGAAAGATTTTCTTTGATATAAATCACTATACCACCTCCTCTTTTATTTTCTGTAGTCCTTGAGTATAAGTTATATCCTTCTATGTTTTATAAATTTAACTTGTCGTTTTTTACATTAACTTCTGTTAGACAAATAACGTATATGCTGTCTATGCAATTTTTTATGAGTGCTATTAATTGGTTAAAACGTTTCCTCAGTGAACATATGTTTATATGTATTATATGTAGTGCATTTTTATCTTTATTTATATGTTTTTGCCAGTCATTAATTTGTGTGTATTTCGTATATATATATATATATATCGTATCTACTCTTATTACTACTCTTGTTTCTTGTTATCTAAAAAGGCCTTAATGTCACTCTGAGTGCGTATTTGATGGATTTTTTTTACTGTATCATTCTTGCTAATTAATATTCTGGCATTCTGTATCCAAATATATTTATACAAGTCTTTTAATTCAGTCTTAACTTCCCAGAATAGACGTCGAAGATGCTGCGTTATATTTTCATTAATATAGATTCTCGTATTGTTATTGTTTTTAAATATTGCGCTATTAGTGATGGCATTTTTTCGGCACCCTATCCACTGGATTCGGTCTTCACGTGTTTGAAGTGTGACAATTATTGGCCTCGAGTCCTTCCCATCCTTTATCTTTCCCACTCTCCAAGCCTTGGTAATTTTTTCTGGACATAAATTCAATTCATCTGCAACCGCTCTGGCTATCTGTATGGTACTCATTCCTTGAATGAATGAATGAATATACTTTATTGCACACCACAAACAAATTTACAAATAACATAACAGAGAGCAGATTACATGTACAATTTGGCGGCCTTATCGCGATACTCATACGATCACGACATAGCGATCTCTTCCAGGCAATTCCTTCTGGTGCCTGGACATTTAACAGTTCTATGTTGCAGTCCAGCCCCTTCTGTTCCAACATGCAGAAACGTTCCTCTAAAGCCTTATTATATTTTTCCAGGTAAACATTTTTTTGGGATAGATCTTTTATTTTATTTTCCTGTATTTTGATGACGTTATTCGCCTCCTCGATGGCGTTCTCCAGTTTTGAACATTTTTTGCCGAGATAATCCAATGAGTCGTCAACGACTTCATTAGTTTTCTGCAACTGGCATATTGTAATTTTTATATCTGACATATCTTTTTCAAAATTCCCAAAACGTGTTTCCTGTTGGTCTTTCATTTCTTTAAGAGTATGCATCATGATCTTCATTTCCTCACGTAATGAATCCATCGTTTCTTTTAGTGAGCTTAGCATGTTCTCCGTGCAACAGGCCGGTTTTTGTACCGCGGATATCTGTCCGGTGGATAATTCGCCCTCCGATTCATATACACGTTTCTTTCTAGGGTTAACCCATTCAGATAAAATTACATGTTTATCTTTCATTTTACTTACATTAGTATCAGAACCGTACATTATGATCTTTTCCTCTTCCGTCGGCATTAATGTTCGCTCCATTTAGGCCTAAATAGATGTTTTCGCTGGCTCTAAGCAAAAATAATGGTTAATCTGGTGGGCGGAGTCAACCCCACGCACGCGAGTAGGTGGGGACTAGTTGCGCTTGCACTTATGTCGTAGCTCCTGTTATACTATTGTCTCTTCCTTATGAACCGTATTACACTTATTCTGTCCTTTTTTAACCATTAACAAATGCCATACACACTTTACCAACAAGCAGAAACGTCCGAACGCTTTCGCGCAACCACGAGAACTGACAACATACTTAGTATACTTGTTATATACTTACTTAGAACTTTGGAAAGTGCTCGACAGATGCGCCATATTGACCAAAATGACCCCGACATTCAAGTGGCTACGTATCATGGGTAAACAAGAATGGGTTGGCTTGACCGGAGAGACATCTTAGGCAGTATCAGAGAAAATCTCGACTGTAAACTCAAACTCCATAATGTCAAAACTTGAGTCTAGTCCACATAAACTTTGACTTTATGAAGTTTCATTTTGAAATCAAAATTAACTGGTGAATGGAATGGAAGCCTATGGCACTGATATTTTATGTTTTTCTTTTTTATTTTACATTAACATATTATGAAATTAATCTATCAATTAATACTACCAATTTGAAATAAACTTTCGGTACAAAAAAGTAACAAAACAAATTTTGAACTAAATAAATAAATCAATTAAAAGATATCGAAATTAAAATAATAAGTACCCAAATAGTAGTATTTATTGACAGACAATTTCATAATATGTTAATGTAAAGTAAAAAAATGTGAAATATAAGTTCCGTTGGCTTCTATTCCGTTCACATGCTACACGCTATTTTATTTCAGACGGTACAAAAATCATCCAGTAGATAGCTCCTCACACCTTGCTAATGTCTCTGATAACCCAAAAACTGGCACAGAGATTGATCGGGTCAACCTCGCAATACAGCAAGGTAACTTAGTCAGTTTTCTGAGCACACCACCAACAGATGGTGGTGGTTTATCCAGTTTTTATTACTTGAGTTAAGCTTTTTAGTCATATATTTATAAAATTTAATATTGTACAATATTATAATTAGAACATTTATATTTATAATATTAGTTCAAAATATTGTCCCAATAAATATATAACATATATTCATAGTTATAGTATACTTTGTGTATATTTTTAGTATATAAACGTACATAATGTGTAAGTAATATTGAATAGAACTATATTCCTATAAATGTAAATTATCTCCTAATAATAGCGTTTATATTTTCAGTAAATTTCGACGATCATAAGGGCTTAAAAAAACTTAATTTGAATAAAAAATTGATTTTGAATTTGAACAGTTCAGGAGAAAATGATAAAATCTAAGTACATAAAGGCATGTAGCATACACGCTTTACGAATAGACTGTAAGGTGGCTTGTTACTGCTGCCTTCACTTGACCTCCTTGTGCGCGTTTGATAAATGCAAAGAAATGGATTCATGAACACCTTTTTCGAGTAACTCGATACTGCGTCATAACTTTATTTATGATTTATTATCAGATTTTACCTAAAATTGGCTTTATTTTTAATAGAAGTTTTTAAAATAAGCATTGTGATAAAAAAACTTTTCAATATTGTCTTTATATGAAAAATGTAGGTATGGGTAAAATTAATACGTAGATTTTTCCTACATGGTTCTTTATGTGACGGTGCTTCTATCGGAAAAGATGCATAAATCATGATGTACTAAAAAACCGCAAGACTAGTATTACTTATTTTTTTTAATGAACCCGAAGTAAAAATGGAACTGACAGGCCACCTGATGGGAAGTGGCTACCGCAATCTATGAACACCGAAAGCTAACTTTAAAAAAGAAAGCTACAGATTCGTTATCAACTTTGGGAACAACCGTGCACGCATTGCTGTTTGGCACCAGAATTAGGTAAGAGCACAAAATCCCAGCGTAAAATAGCAGCGTAATGCTGCTGTGTTTCGCATGGTGAGTGTAGAGAACCGGAGACCTTTTTTACTGGAATCGAGGCATTCCATTTTAGTCCTCAGGGGTGACAACACATAGCATTTTGATCCTTAATTGAGGATAAATATAGATATCTATGGGCCACAATTAACTTACTTTTGGGTAGACGTAATTTACGTTTATTTGTAGTTCCAATATGACAGAACCTTAAAAAGTATTTAAAAAAATTCTATAGAAGAAATCGTGTCGAAAAAGCTTTATGTTCTCGTTTGAAAAGGATCTGCGTGACGGATGCGAATAAAAGAACATGATTAGGCGCTATGGGTTGGCTATGCTTATGTATGGGCAGGATAGCAGAAATAAAATCAGATATTTATTTCATACATTTTATTGCCACACATTTAAGTTCAGGTGTTGCATGCAAAGCATTTACTAATGAGAATAACAGGATATAAAAATCGTTGTACTAGTACATCCGTATACAAAAAATATTTTGTTTTTGTTTGTGTTTTTATTGCTCAAAATATCTGAATGTCGTATCGAGGGCTATTGTTTCTCTAAGGTAGAGCTTGTAAGCCGTAGTGCAAGCGTTAAATATTCATGCAATGTGCTGTCCTAGCATACGAACAGCAAGCTTTAGGGCTGAAAACCTTTGAAAGTACACATATAATCATTATGTAAGTTAAATAATACACATAAAATATCTGAATTAATAAGGATTTTAAATAACTCAACGCAGATAACTTTTGTAAACAATAAAAATCTGAATTTGTCTAAAAGATATAAAAAATAATCAAAAACTAAACTGTCTCTGGGAAAATATATATAAAGTAAGAGCGCGCACTTTTGTACTAATTATATGGAAAATAATTAATTTAAAATAATTGTAATATGATTAAATCTTTTGTTGAAATAAAGATAGTTATGACTTTAGTCACATCATCGTTGGAGCCATACGCTATGTTAGACGGGAGATGAAGCTGCAGTCGTCAGCAGATTTGACAGCATACAGGCAACTCAACAGACAGATCTCCAAATGAATGCGGCAGGACTTACGCAACTTCAATACAGCTAGTATTAAAGAAGCGATTGAGCGGAACCAGGGCTCCAAAGTCTTTGCCAGAGATCTGTCTGTCGGAAAGAGCCAACTGTCAAAGCTGAAGACTGAGTGTGGCGGCATGGTTTCTGGGACACCTGAGATTTTGAGTGAGATTGAGAGGTTCTATGGGCAGCTGTACACATGATTGTTGGAGCCACACGCAAGTGTGAGTAACGATCCAAGAGCAAATCTTATCCGACACTATTCCGATGATATACCGGACGTCAGTCTGAACGCGATTAGAATGGTTCTCCAGCACCTTAAAAACGGCAAGGTCCCAGGCAAGGATGGAATTACTGCGGAGCTTCTGAAAGCGGGTGCAACACTGGTACTTAAATTCCTCTAAAGGGAAGGAAGGAAGGAAGGAAGGAAGAGCTTCTAAAAGCTCTTCAATTCCGTCCTCCATGGTGGCACTACTCCGGAGGCGTGGAGCAGAGGTGCGGTGGTCTTATTCTTCAAGAAAGGCGAATACGCTCTCTTGAAGAACTACAGACTGATTTGCCATCTGAGCCGCGTCTATGTGCAGTTTTCGAAAGTCATTACGAATCGTCTCGCATACAGCAACTTCCAGCCTCGCAAACATACCGGTTTCCGAAAAGGCTTCAGTATCATAGACCACATACATACCCTGCGGCAGATTGTACAGAAGACCGAAAAGTACAATCTACTACTTTTCCTGGTGTATGTGGACTATGAGAAAGCCTTTGATTCCGTCAAAAATTGGGCGGTGCTACAGTCGCTTCAGCGGTGCCAAGTTGACTGTCGGTATATCAAAGTGTTGAAGTGTTTGTACAGTAGGGCTACGATGGCTATCCGAGTACAGAACCAGAGTACGAAACCTATCCAACTGCAGAGAGGTGTAAGACAGGGTGAAATTATTTCCCCGAAACTCTTCACCGCTGCATTGGAAGACGTTTTCAAGCTACTGGACTGAAAAGGATACGGTATTAACATGTATGGCAAGTACATCACTCACCTTCGATTTTCCAATGATATAGTCCTTATGGCAGAACCGCTGAAGGACGAAGCAATATGCTCAATGACCTCAATGATGTCTCCCAACGGATAGGTCTTAAGATGAACATGGACAAAACAAAGATCATGTTTAATGTCCATGTCACACCTATGCCGGTAGTTGTTGGGAGCACTATACTTAGGGTTGTTGACGAGTACGTTTACCTGTGACAAATATTCCGACTAGGTAAGTCCAACTTCGACTGAGAGGTCAATAGACGGATTCAACTCGGCTGGGCAGCGTTCGGGAAATTACGACACATTTTCTCGTCAGGTATACCTCAAACTGAAAATTAGATTGAGCAAACAGTGCGTGTTGCCAGTGATGAATTACGGATCTGAGACGTGGTCCTTCACTGTTGGCCGTATGAGGAAGCTCAACGTCGCTGAGCGAGCTATGGAGAGTCTATGGCTATGCACGTTGTTTCTCTGCGTGATATTTTCATAAATGAGCGTATTCGCAGTATAACCAGAGTGACCGACATAGCCCAACGGAATAGTAAGATAAAGTGGCAATGGGCCGGCCATAGAGCTCGAAGAACCGATAACCGATGGGGAAGAAAGGTTCTCGAGTGGCAGCCTCGTACCGGTAGACGTAGTGTAGGGTGAAACCCTACTAGATGGAGTGACGACCTGGTAAGACATGCAGGAAGTCGATGGATGCAGGTAGCTCAGAACCGTGCTTTTATGGGGAGGCCTATGTTCAACAGCGGACTTTTGAAGGGATGTAATGATGATGATGATGATGATGATGATGATGATGATGACTTTAGATTTTTACTCCTCTCCGTTTGTGATGCCAGCAAAAGGTTTTACCTTTGCATCTGCATCGTTCCTAGTATAGTGTAACCTTTTTTATATGTATTGAATGTTTCACATTATAAATCTAATATAAAGT